CGCCGCCGGCTGGAGGGCCTTGCGCTCCCAGTGCGCGCCCCGCGCCTGCCCAGCCCCGCAGGTGGGTGTGCGCCGGCCGGAGGTGTCCGTTGCACGGGGAGACGCGTGCCGCGATCCGGGGCTGGGGCAGGATGGGGGCTGAGCTGCTTAGGTTGTGCCAGAAGTGTCGTTCCCCCCAACGCTGTGGCATAAAAACAACACCCAGGTGAGCAGTGCTTTTTTGCACATGTTCATAAAGGCGTGCGTATGTCTCTTGAAGCCTGTCTCTCCTTTATTCATAGGAACAACAAGAGAAGCTGGCTGCGCGGGACTGGTGTGACCAAGCAGATGACTGGGGAGCACGCGATGAATTTGAACCCCCTGAACTGAACCCCTCTCGCTTGCTGGGTGTAAATGAAGCGAGCAACTCTTGCTTGCCCAAAGAAGCAGAGTGTGCAGCCCAGTTACAGGGGCTTAGCTTGGCTGAAGCTGTGGATGTACCCGATCCCATATGTATTCATCTTCCAGCTGGAGAAGAGAGAGTAATGTCTAGCTCTGTCCCTGTGTTCAAGCCCTACTACATCAGTGTTGTGGATGAGGAAGACTACACTGGTTACGTTGATACGGATCATGCACACAGGCTTCTAAAGGAATATCAACAGAGAGAGGGTATTAATTTGGAAGAGTTGATGTCAGAAAGGTGGGAATCGGTTTCTAGTACTTGCTGTAAAATGAAGGAATTAAATGGGCTGCTATTAGTTGGCATTTATTAGTTAGCTAAATGACAATTGAATTGAGTTTGAGATGGACTGAGCATCCTTTATTTTATCTTTGAAATTGGTGCAAATTGAAGGTACAAGCACCTTTCAAAATTAGCATCATGTAGATGCGGCCCAAAAGTAGAATCTTGAGATATAGAGATGAGGGCAGTTTATTGTGCAGACTCAGCATCTGCAGTTTCAGCCAAAGACCCTTTGAAATCACACCTAAATAGTTTAAACCTTAATAGAAACACTTCAAAAGTAACTCATTATTCAGTGGATAGAGGTAAGTCTGGAGTGTGACTCTTGACACAATGTATTCTTTCCCTTTTTAAAACTATAGTTCTTATTTGTGATCAATCTTGAGTGCTGGGTTTCCTAGAGTAGCTTGTCATTTTCAAATATGTTTATACTTAAAATTAATGTTTGTAGCCTTTGACATCTCTGGTAAAAAAATAAATAAAATAGTGGACTGGCACACTAGGAAATAATTCCTGGATTTTCTAGTCCAGTATCCATTAAATCCATTACCACTCTGTCATACCCTTGTGCCTCCCACAAAGTTGTATGCTTCAAAAGAAGCTCATTAGGATACAGTATCAGCGGCTTTTTGAAGCTAGGAAAACATATTCCTAGAATGTTGTTAATTTCATGTAATAGTTGTATTGCGCGTCTGGTGTACCTGTAGTTCCTGGGTTTATAGGTCTAATGTATATGTAGTTCCCTAGGTTATATAGAGAGATTTATTTTCCATTCCTCTGTTTTGACTGTGATGGACCCATCCAGATTTTGACAAGGAAGTAGTGTGAAAAACAGCTTTTGGACTTAAGGTCTGCTGCGGGCTGGTTAACATTAGTACAGTTGCATGACACGTACATTGAGCATTTACATCTAATTTACATTCTTTATTCTAAGAGATGTGAATATATGTACGGTTGGTTTCTCCAGTAAGTAGTAGCAGAATACCATTCACTTGCAGGAGTTGCATATAGAGCACTGCTTTTTGAAGTACCTTTCATGTTTTGTTCAGTTTCTGAAAGTGTATTTTTGGGGCAGTTTACGATTTTTTTTCCTGGGTATAAATAAAGACAGCACCAAAATACAGGCATACCTCGGAGATATTGCGGGTTCGGTTCCAGACCACCGCAATAAAGCAAATATCGCAATAAAGCGAGTCACACAAATCTTTTGGTTTCCCAGTGCATATAAAAGTTATGTTTACACTATACTGTAGTCTGTTAAGTGTGCAATAGCATTATGTCTAAAAAAACAATGTACATACCTTAATTAAAAAATACTTTTATTGCTAAAAAATGCTAACCATCATCTGAGCCTTCAGCGAGTCATAATCTTTTTGCTGGTGGAGGGTCTTGCCTCAATGTTGATGGCTGCTGACTGATCAGGGTGGTGGTTGCTGAAGGTTGGGGTGGCTGTGGCAATTTCTTAAAATAAGACAACAATGAAGGTTGCCACAAACCTTCAATTTGTAAAAAACGCAATATCTGCGAAGCGCAATAAAGCGAAGCGCAATAAAACGAAGTATGCCTGTACAGGAAAGGTTCTGAGGAATCTAGGTTTAAGCAAATGCATAGTGGATTTCATTTCTTGTATTATAATACAGAAAAATTGGATATAGATATTTGAGTGAAGATCATTGAGGGTGAGAATAAGGAGTGAACTAATAAGCTATGTTGCCTAGTAAGGCTAATTTTTAGATACAAGCGTCGTTTTAATTCATGTTAATATGAAAAAAAAAGTTCAAGAGGTGGTGGTTCCGTAACTGTTTTTATTTTTGAGTATGCATGCTGCTGTAGATTTAATAGGAAAACTTCCCCCTGCCCTTATTTTTCTAGTTTTGCAGGTGAAGGTGATCATGAGAAATATGAGAAGAGCAAACTCCGAAGTAGGGACCACGTGTTCCACAAATTTATGAAAAGAATTTCTGCCTGTCCTGAACAAATTCTGAGGTATGTTGACTGATGTGTTGGTGATAGGAAGTGGTGGTCAGTTGTCAGAGAATAAATTTATTTATTGATTGATTTCTAACTTGACGCTCCTGAAATGAGGGTGTTGTTTTTAGATTATTTTAATTTTAATTAAAAATGTTCTAACATTTCTTAAGCTAAGCATGGTATGTGTTTAAGTGTAGGTGGAGATGCACATAACAAGTGTGCAGTCAGTGAGACTATCCTGTGATCTGCTTATTTTACATCAGGTAAAAGTGGCTGGAGGAGTAAAGAAGACTCTAAGGGCCTTGGATTTTGGTCAAGGGAGGGTTTCTTCAGGATGAGATGCAAAGAAGACAGCTCATGCAAATTGTCTTTTCAAAGGTCCCTTAAAGAAGGAAACCCTAGCAATAGCCAGTTTACCAGGGGACACCAATGAGGGTGGAAAAATAGAGCACAATGGTGTGGAGGTCTTAGCCAGTCCTGCTGCTGATAGACTGTTATTATCACAGCTCTGGGGTAACCTTGCCATTAACCCCCTCTGGCTTCCTCAGCAGCATCACCTTAGGTTTTGGGCCTGTAGGTGTTACCTTTTTCAACAGGACAATCTGTTTTAGGGCTGCAGACCACTTGAAATTCACTGTGATATAGTCCTTGCAGATCTGCAGCTTGTCTGCAGTATAGGTCTTCTGTTTTAGCTTTGCCAGCAAAGCTTGTAGTGGAGATGTGTAGAAAGGTGTTGGGTTTTTTTGCTCATAGCATCTACCCAAACTATAGCAGCTCTACTGGTAAAAGCCATCCTCTATCTTGGGATGTCCAAAGTTAGGTTGTCTAGAAGGAATGATCATTTCACACCCATAACTAATGTTAGCTGTGCCACTAAAACCTTGTAGTATAAACCACATTCGAGTTCATTAATTCAGCACCTCAGAGCTGTTTTCTTTCAGGACAGTGATCAGCAAACTTACAGTAAAGCACAGTATTTCATCCTTAGGACAAAAACATTACAGAGATGGCATATCCTTAACAGCTTATGTATTAGATTGCCAGATGTTACTCATCCATATTGGATTCTGACAGTTACCATCCACATGTGTGTGTTTGTTCCACAGTGAATCTTGCAAATCAGCTGATTCTTTAGTTAAAATGTCTGCTTGCTAGGTCTCCTGACTCAAGGAGAAACAGTTGATGCAATTTCCAAGAGAAGGCAAAGCTTTAAAGACGTAGTACCTACATAAACAGTGTTGGGTATCCTAGAGCAATTGCATAGGAAATCCATCCACTGAGTCTGGAACACAAAGATACATGTTTCTTTTGCCTAAATAGTATCTGTCACTTCTCAGTGTAAAACAGACTTTGACATTTTCATGCTTTCAAAATATCGCTGTGAGCCAGCTGTAATGCTGAGGTAGCCACCCTATTCCAGTCGCTGGAGAGCTCAAAAAGGGGAGGCTACGCCTTTGTTTCCATGACTTCTGGGCTGTGAGTTCTGTACTTTCCTTCCAGGCACAGCACAGAACCCCACCTTTTGTTGACTAGAAGCTGCCTTGAACTTTGGGTTTGGTTTCTCTGGAGGTGCGCTACCTTGTTCCAAAAGCTTACAGTGCTGTGATAGAAAGCACCATGCTGCTGCTCCAAGACTGCTGAACTTAGACTTGCAAGTGTGTCTTCCCCCCCATCTCCCCTTTCCCTTACATTTATATTAAAGGGTAGCAGGGATATGGAGTTGAGGGTACTACATGCCATGCAGTAATCAGTCTACGGTTTTTGTCTCCATTTGAATGTTGGGAGGCTGCATCAATAACAGCTTCCAGGTCTTGTGGTAACCTTCCAAGTCCTTTTCCTACTTTAACCTTTTTTTCTTTTCTTTTTTTTTTTTTTTTACTTGAAGCAGGCTCATGACTTTTGGTGAATACCAAGTACTGCTGCATTACTGTGGGTCTTCCACTGAGCAATAACAAGAAATGTGTGACATCTTTCTCCATACCCCTAGATACTCCTGGGGCGGTGAGCCTTTATTTATAACATGCCCTCCATTCGACATCAGCAGAGGGGTTCCAGCCTGTAGTAACTGTGGAAGTAACAGAGTCTTTGAGTTCCAGCTTATGCCAGCACTGGTCAGCATGCTTGAAAGTGATGCAGGTGCTAATTTTTATTACTGGTTTTTAATTGAATATGAAGCACTGTGCTATAACTGCATCAAACGAGACATTAGAACATAAGTTACTTCAGGGATGGCCAATCTGCAGCATGCGTGGCACAGGCAGCCTCTGTGAATAGGGCACAGCAGATTGAGCAGGGAGCAGAAAGCAGAGCAGTAGCTTCGGCAGAAGGAAGGGATTGGAATGGCACTCCAGGAAGGTGCAGGACTAACATATGGCATGCCTGCCAAAAAGGATGGTCCCCAATGGATTACTTCATGTAAAATATATGAGCAATGATATTTTAATCACTTTTTTTTTAATATAAAACCTGCTGTAAGTGGCCAGCCAACAATAATTGAAATTGACTTTCTGATAACTTGCTCTTTCTCCCCACCCTCCAGTGTTTGAGATATAGTAAGAAAAGAGCTACCCTAATTCAGCTGTTCATCCTTTAAACTATTTCAGTCATTTAACGTACTGACTTGCTTTCAGTGTGATTAGTGAAACTGATTTACTAGGAGTCTCTGATCAAGGCTTTATATGTTCCTTAGATCCTTTATAACAGTGAGAGGAATCAAGAACTCCCTATATCCTTGAACAATTAATTTGTAACGTTCCTCCTAAAGCGAGGACTTGAGAATTAACAAATACAGTGGATTCCACTTTATAGCATCGCTCATTAATAGAATCAGCCACTTATTTGAATCAATGTGGGAAAACCAAAACCATTTGTATATTATTACATGTAAAAATAGCTCAAATTAGAATTGTGGTTTTTGGTAGAAGTGCCAATAAAAAGAAAATTGATTATATTGGAAATCAGCTTGATGTGGCCGATTTTTAATTTGGCTGATAAACACAGTGTGGCCCAGTGCTGCGCACACCCCCACCCCCCTGTACAATGTGGCAAAAAGAGCCTAGCACGGCCCTGGCCCCAGCTCACACC